AATCAAAAGAAAAATTATAAAGTATTTTGAACTGAGTAAAAATAGAAAACACAACATATCAGAAATTTGGGATACTGCTAACGCAGTACTGCAGGGGAATTTCACAGTACTAAGCACTTACATCAGCAGAGACAAAAAGATCGAAAGTCAATGACCTCAGCTTTTACTTAAAGAAACTACAGAAAGAGAAAAGCAAAACCAAAATTAGCAGAAGACAATAAATACTAAAAATCAGAAAGGATATTAATAAAATAGAAAGAGAAATATATTTATTTGCTCAAAAGCAAATTCTTTTAAAAAAACTCAACGAAATTGATAAACCTTTAGCCAGAATGATGAGGAAAGAAAAGAAGACACAAATGACCCAAAGCAGGAATGGGAGAGGTGCCATCATCACAGATTCTACAAATATTAAAAGGATAACAAAGCAATAATGGGAACAACTTTGTTCTAGTAATTTTTACAACTTAGATTACGTGGACAGATTCCTTAAAGATTAAAAAACACCAACTACGTTCAAGAAAAAATTAAATAACCTGACTAGCTCTATTTAAAGTAACTGAATTTGTTTTAAAAACTTCCACAAAGAAAACTCCATGCACCAATGAATTCTATCACACATTTAAGAAATAATATCAATTCTATACAAACTCTTCCCAAAAAAATTGAACAGGAGGAAATAAACCCAAACTCTTGTATAAGATCAGCTTTACTATGATACCATATAAAGACAACACAAGAAAAGAAAGCCACAGACTTATCCTTCAGACCTAAATGGAAAAAAAACTATAAACTTTAGCACACATAGTACACACTTAATATATACACAGAGGCACACTCATACCCACGTGCACACACACACTCCTAACACATCTTCTACTCCACTCCACCATGAGGCTCCAACGTGTGCAGCACCCGTTCTCTGGAGGCGTGCACTTCTCTTGATGAAAGTATTTAATCCAGCGTCCCAAACGCTAGTATATGTCCTGGTGAAAGAGCAAAGTAGTGAATAAGAAGGGAAATCTCTTACGCACCAGCAAACTGAATAGCCTAGAAGAAATGGGTCAATTCTTAGAAACATACAACCTACCAAGGTTAAGTCAGGAAAAAATCAGAAAAATCTGAACAAACCTACTACCAGGAAGGAGATTGGATCAGTAATTGAAAACCTCGCAACACAGAAAAGCCCAGGACCCAATTGTTTCACAGGTAAATTCTACCGAACACATACAGAATAATTAATACCAATTCTTCTCAAACTCTTCCAAAAAGTAGAAGAGAAGGGAACCATTCCAAACCCATTTTATAAGACAAGCAGTGCCCTGATATGAAACCAGACAAGGACGTCTCAGGAGAAGAAAATTACAGGCCAATAGCCTGATGAACATAGATGCAAAAATCCTCACCAAAAAAATCTGCAAACCGAATTCACCAATGCATTAAAAGGGTCATACAGCATTATCATTCCAGGGATGCAAGGATGGTTCAACATGCACAAATCAATCAATGTGATCAGCCTCATTAATAAAATGAAGAATAAAAATCATACAGTCATCTCAACACAGATACAGAACAGGCATTTGATAAAATTCAATATCCTTTCACAATTAAAACTCTCAAAGTAGGTATAGAGGGAACATAACTCAACATAATAAAGGCCATGGATGACAGTCCTGTGGCTAACATCATACTCACCGGTGAAAAGCTGAAAGTGTTTCCCGTAAGATCAGGAAACAAGACAAGGATGCCCACTCTTGGCACTTTTATTTAACATAGTTTTGAAGTTCTAGACAAAATATTTAGGCAAGAAAAAGAAATAAAAGACTTCCAAATAGGAAAAAGAGAAAACTATCTCTGTTTGCAAATGACATGATATTATACACAGAAAACCCTAAAGACGCCATCAAAAAACTGTTATAACTAATAAATGAATTCAGTGACGTTGCAGGATACAAAATCAATATACAGAAATCTGTCTCATTTCTACATACTAACAATGAACTATCAGAAAGCACAATTAAGAAAACAATCCCAAACCTAAGGAGTAGGAATATCTGCAAATGATGTGACTGACACAGGCTTCATTTCCAGAATATAACAACAGTTCATACAACTCAGTAACAAAAAACAACCAACCCAATCTGAAAATGGGCAGAAGACCTAAACAAACATTTCTCCAATGAAGACATACAAGTGGCCAATAGGCACATGAAAAAATGCTCAATAACACTAATTATCAGAGAAATGCAAATCAAAACTACAATGAGGTATCACCTCACATCAGTCAGAATGGCCATCATTCA